TGTTTTCCTTTCTTCGTTACTATTACACTGTTGTTCTCATCTTCTATTACACACTAATTTTATATTTCATATCCTGTAGTGCATTGTTTAAAATGTAAACGCAACGCTGTTGTTTTTATTTTTTTATTTATCTTTTTTTGGGTGTTACTTTTTGATTTTAAAATCTTATAAAATTTATGAGGTAATTGGATGCAATGTATTGTAATGCACACTGAAAATTCCACACCTGTACCACAAATACTGTTTGGAATGAAGCTGTTATTATTATTTTGTCCATTAGATAACAATTCGATTTCTGTTACTCGAAACTTTACCCATGTTTTATGTGGGGTAATTAGACAATGATATCAGGAGGTGTATCAGTATGATTCATACTAGTTAAAAAGGGACATACATTATGTATTTGCACGTGGATGGAATCAATGGTTATGGTATGTATTTGAGACTTAATCCGTCGTCATCCACTTATCGGAACTCTGGATCGAACAAGGGACATTTACATCTTCAGTTTAATACTCTCCCTGTTTAGCTATTCCTGCCGGCAGTCTGATGATGTACCGACCGAGCTAGCCTGGCTCATTGGTTGGATGGTCAACTGCTTAGCCTCATGAATTAGAAGTTCTCGGTTTGGTACTCAGACGACTGACTCCTAAACCTCTCTTAGTCGATATTAAACCCTACGAATAGTGAGGGTTAGATGTGTTGCTAGCGATCCCCTTGCCCAGTAAAAAAAAATTCTACTGAAACTTCAAGGCTCTCTGTCCTCAAGCTCTATATCCCATGGGGAACGCAAAGGAATAAAATAAAACACGGAAAAATCCTTAGTCATATCTTCTAGCAGCTCAGTTGTGACACAGCATTGTACAGATTATCTTGAAATTGAGATCGTCCTATGAGATACAGTTTTTGTTTCTTTTAAAACCGACCATTCTATGTGTGCGTGCGTGTACACATTGGCACTTCGCTTATTTATCCACATTGATATGTTAGTCTTTTCATTAGGATTTTTATTTAAGCTGTCTTAGGGACTTCTGAGCTGGAAATACATTTTTTTCAACTAGCAATTATTATTGTATTATTCCCTTGGGTTCCAAGTGGAACATAAGGCTTCACCAAGACATCTCCACTTTGTTCTATTTGCTGCTGTCCTTTTCAACTGGGTCGAAGATTGCCCATAATCCCTTATATTCCCTCACATAATCTCCTCCATGTCACCCTAGGACGACTCACTCGTCGCTTCTCATTGGGATTCCACTCGACCGATGGCTAGCATTAAGCACCGTGTCATTCGAAGGTTTCTATCTCCATTTTCTCCTACATATTTGTTGAGGTATAGGCTTTTGGTTGGTTTGATCGACTGCAGAGTTTTTTTGTTATTAATTCTCTCTGACTGGCCATCTAATCTTCAGTATGGAGTCATCGAAGAAGGCAGCTATCGATAAAAGTTTGCAACAAGCTGTCGGACACATCAAGTTTCTGACTCGTTCTGAAGGACTGACTTAAAATTGGTGTTGAAAATCTGAATTTCGTTCTTTATACTGGCTGATGAGTCAGTGCAGAAGATTTCCAGACTGCCTCCAGGTTGATGGGGGGGGGGGGTATCTTTTTTCCGATTCTGGCTAGGTTTGACATCTTTATCCTTTTCGCCTGTGGTTGAAACAATTCTTCCTGGATAAGTGAAGAAATTAATCTCGGTTGGTTGGTTATCTTTATCACGTCTGTTTTCTCTATGTTCATCTGGAGAGTTTGTTGGTTTTCTCCTGAAAGTCTTCGAGTTTGTGTAACAATAAACATATATCTCTGCAAAATCCAGTTCTTATAGAATCTTCTTATCGGTCCAGCATATTCCTGCCTTCTCACTCCACTCACTAGTAATTAAGTACATAGTAATCACTTTTCGACAGTTGGAAACGAGAAGACAGAGATAGCCTGGACCGACCGACGTGAAGAACCTATAAGACCTGGATTTCGCGCGTGGATGATTTATGTTTGATGTCACTGTCACAAAATCGAAGACTTACAAGCGAAAACCGACAAACTGGTCGAAGAAGCAGCCGGCAAAGACAGGACTCCATATGAACAAAGACAAGACGGAGGTGATGAAAATAACCAACCAACAACAACAGCAGCAACATCCAGCGTCAATCACCATCAACGGGAGGGATTTGAAAGAGGTTACTTCATTCATTCACTTATCTAGGGAGCATTGTCTCAACTACAGGCAGTCGGAACGGACGAGGATGTCAAATCGAGCGAGAATCGGGAAGCCAAGCGAGAAACACATTCATCAACCTGAAACAACCAATCTGGAAATCTTCGTCACTCAGCCATCATCAACAACAAAATTCGGTCGGATTTTCAATACAAACAACGTCAAGTCAGTCAGTTCTTCTATACGGAACGGATCAGAAAATTGGCGGGCGGGCGGGTCACAAAGAATATTTCCAACAGCCTGTTGCAGACATTCATCATCAACAACTGTCTTCGCTGGATCTATACTGAAGATCAGATGGTCGGGCCGGAAAGAATCACCAACAAGAAACTATGGGAACAAACAAAACAAGAACCAATCACCAACCAACAAATATACAGGAGAAAGTGGAGATGGATTGGACACTCGCTCGCTGAGGAGGCTGGCCGCTGGGTGACATCGCGCGTCAGGCCATTGCTCGAGAGGAACCCGAAAGGGACGCGGCGAGTGGGACGTCAGTGACATGAAGGGTGACATGGAGGAGATCATATGAAGAGGAATTGAAAGAGTATGGACTAACATGGATGGAGGTGAAAAGTACAGCAGAAGGAAGACAGAAGCAAGTGGAGACGTGCAGTTGAAGCCCTATGTTCCACTAGGAACCCAAGGGAACAATAATAAATAATAATAATCACTTTTCGACCTGTATAAAACAAAACTCAACCCTGTAATCATATTCAAGTCTGGATTATAACTGATGAGTGACATATGTTATTAAGGCGGCAGTAATACTACTCTGCTGTTTAATAGTTAAATACTTTAGGTGGATTTCATACTTATAATATTAAATGATTGACAGTTTTAGCGCTAAATACAATGAGACACAGTTATACTTCACTATGAATACTCTATCAGTTTTCGGCGGTAGTAAAGAATAGACACCAAGGTCAAATAAACTAGAACCAACCAATCAGATGCTTCTAGGTGTAAGGTGGCATATATTCTATAAACAACAGTGTATTTATATGATATACTATACTATACTATAGATATATCATGCAAGGTATACATCTCTAATAGGCTGCAAAAATCGGCTCTAGTTTCTCATGGGAGTATCATAGGCGTATCACGAACCAATATCGGTACATGAATTTGCCCTAATGGCTATATTTCATCATCATCATCACATCGTGCCGCGAACCATTTACCATTCCAATACGTTTTTTAGATGAGATCAAAATCCTTCAATAGAATTTGTATGAGTAGCATTTATAGGATCCAATAATTCAGAAGAATGATTGGCTCTGAAATGAATATAGCCTGTTGTGATGATAGTTGTGAATAGCCTCTCCACTCGCCTGTATGAATGGTAGTGTTTGAGAGGATTAGTTGTTGTATTATTGGTATTAAAAAATCAGCACTTCTGTTTAAGATGCGTCCTAGTAACCCTTTTCAAAGATTTGTCTCGTACAGTACTTCCAGCATTCAAATATGATTTACTCTTCTACCGCAGTAATTCATTTTTCGTTTAAATAAGTACTGTCTCATCACAATGTGAACGATGACATAAAGTCCTCTAGGTACAGAAGTGATTCCATTGATCTTTTGTGCTGATACCATTGTACTGTTGAAATTTTAGTATTCTGTTTCCGCAGCTGTAGCAGATAGCTCTGTCCTCCTTTGTGGCTGTGAGCCAAACCTGGCCATTGAGAGCGGAAGACATGAAAAGCCTGGGTGGGTAGCTGTCTTTGATCATAAGTGCCTGCGTTTTATCCCCCGTGTGAAATGGTATAAAAGGGTGAGCAATATTGACGTTAGTTGTCGGTCGATGGCTAGGTAAGAAGGAGAAATCAGTCGACGAGACTGTGGAGCTACATCGACTGAGATGGTGTTATGTATGCCTAGCCATCGCCTTCCTCAACGAGCAATAATAGCTGACATAGGAACCATGAGGTTGGAAAAGAGCCAGTGGTGGTCAAACCAAAACCAACATGGCTTCATCAGTCAATGAAATCCTCGACAGTTAGTTTAAGCCATCCAGCCAGCCACGTAGGAAGATGTAGACTTAATGGTTGGGGTCGTCGGGACGGTAAACACCAATCAAAGCTGGAGACAATCGGTGGTATGGCACAAAGTGGTTGTCGATGACTAGCGCAGATCCATCCACTCCTTGTGACTTATAATACTCAATAAAACTATATTGTTCTTCAATATTACTATTCCTTTTATCTCATATTTCTGTATAATGCCTCTGTTTTGCGTTCCCTTTTACTTTCTTCTCTTGCTTTATGTGCTGGGGGAAGTATAGTGACTTGAACTGCTGCACATCGTTGCAAAGTTCTCTGTTGAAATCAGTCAGTCAGTCAGCAGATACTACTGGTCATCTCAGTAGCCAATTGTGGCATCTATGCAACATTTTATTTAGGAAGAGAGATTTTCAATTTCGAGGAGAAAGTATCCAAATATTTACAATAATGTATAACTTACCAATTGTCAAAGACTTCCTCATATCACGGTATTTGCATATGAATGCATAAGCATCAATAGCCAGGCAATACTTCTGACGAATCATTATCCCTCCACCACATATGCACCTTTTAGTCCTCTGTATCAACCTATTTTCCTCACAGAAGTCTGGATGAAACGTGCTAAGATGATCATAAACAGTATCCATTTGTAATACTGAGCAGTGATCTGATTGGTTGGTTCAAGGTTACTTGACTGTGATATCTGTTCTTTATTATTGCCCACGTCTCTTTATGTATTGTCTTCTTATAACTGTCATCATCATCTTCTGTCTTCTGCACAGGTTGTTGTTAATTCAGTACTGAAAGCTGGTTTAGAATATCAAATACATGGACAATTTCATGAATGGCGTGATCCAATCACTTCAAGAGTCTATGGTTTACATTTCCCGGAACAAGAAGAAGCTTCGGTGTTTTTAAAGACAATCAATATTGTTTTGAATAGACTAACAAATCCTGTAAGTGTATTTTTCTATCAGTTTATATAAAGCAGTTGAAACTTAACGGTTACATTTAAGTTATTCTTTACAGTATCATTGTCTTGTACACGGGTAGAGCTCGCGAGGCTACTCAGCTATCGAGGTGAAAGTTTGATAAAGTAGGTTTTTCAATCTGTAACTAATCGTTCGGAAACTGGGTGTTTGATCCTACAACCTCTATGGATATCCCTGCTCTCTCGACTGATAGATGCTTTTTTACGCGATAATGAGGTCTGAGTATCTCAATGACACCCAAGAAGCGATACTTGGTGGAATGAATGTTCTCACAGGTGTTATTTTGTTAAAAATGCCATTTGGATAGTGGTCACCTTCGCAGTATAAGTCGTTCACACTATGTGGGCGAAGTTGTACTACTGGCGGTAGGGTGTAACGGCACTAGGGTGTCTCCCTCGGACGATCATTGAGCCATCTATGTTGCCTTCCTACTGTGAGGAAGTTGAAGTCGATAAGATCGACTGCGAAAATGTACCTTCTGACTTCCTCCACTTCACAGTCCGTAATAGACGCTAAGGTTTTCATATGGACACATCTAGAAACACGTATAGCTTCTCTCAAGCATAGTTGTCATCTGCATTCACGCGGTTCTAACGACCTTCACGTTTTAGATATTTCAAGGCCAGTCTGGAAATAATAACCACCCATACATTTTCATAAACATTCCTTCCTACTGTTTAATTCAATCTTGTCTTTCGCGACCGAAGTGCTCGGTCTCAGGTGTTGACATGTCTGCTCCTTGTACATAGATGCTTCGACAATTTTTGATAGTGTAACTTGAAGTAATCTGGTTTTTGGTGACTTGCAGTGGATTCATGGATGGGGAACATCAGCACTTAATGGAAAATAATCAGGCACATCCAGATGATAAATGAGTCCCAAACAGGACAAAATTCACATCCTGGATTCTACTGCTGGTCATATCATCCGTCAATCCCGTGCTACTTTTTATTATGTTTATACCGAGTGCTTTTTCAGGCAAGACTATCTTAGATAATCGTTGCTTATCATCGGTGTTGCAAATCTTGCCACTACAACGCAGTTATTTTGTTAATAACTCCGATCCTCATTTGCTTGGTTATTAACGTGATCTGATTATTGCATGGAGGGTTTCACCATGAGCTGACATCAGTTACAGAACCACTGGAAAACCTACAGGGGTACTGAACAGCTGTTTTGTCCTAGATTGGGACTCTTCAGCAGCACCACCCACCCACCGGGTTCGAATCCAGGACCTTCTGGTTACAAGGCGAGCTCAGCTCATAGGGAAATCCTCCATGCAATCAAACAAAATCCTACAAAACCAATACTTGAAAATTAATCTGATGCTCACTGGTGACTGGTCCTAATCAGGCAGTTAACCTGGGGTTCTAGGGGGAAGCCGTGACCAGTAGGGTACAGCAGGTTGAAGATGAGGCAGTAACTTATCGAAGAAGACATTGCGAAGTGGTCGCGCTATGTCGTGAATTGGTAGAAGTTAGAATTCAGGACCATTGGATCGGTCCCAGTGGCTCAATGGTCTACGAGCTCGCCTTGTAATCAGAAGGTCCTGGGTTCGAACCCCATTGGGTGCGTACTGATGAAGAGTCCCAATCTAGGACGAAACAGCTGTCCAGTACTCCCAGGTTTTCCAATGGTTCTCTAACTGATGTCAGCTCATGGTGAAATCCTCCATGCAATCAAACAAAATCCCTACAAAACTAATACTTGAAAATTGATCTGATTAAGACCAAATATCATATATATTCAAGGTTGTTATCTCCTTTAAGTTTTCTTATAAAGTATCTTTTCGAGGTATTTCAGTGCACTTTTTTTTCTGCTGATTTACGTATATAGATTTAATTTCCATATTGAATCACAATTATGCACGTAAATTGACCTCTAGTATCCTGTTTTTTGATCTTATTGTTATTATTCACTCGATTACAATTTGCACTCACTTATTGTTCAACTATTCAGTGTACTTCTATTTGTGTATCTATTTGTGTGTGTGTGTGTGTGTGTAAATCTAGTGAGGCAGGTGTATACTCTACCCGCATTCGTGAATAATAGATAACAAGAAAAAGAGGGGATACAATAATATAACAATCAAAATGCATGACATCATTTGTGTAGATTACAAGAGTAGTTATCACAGTGTAATATAATAAAATGGAATAGATGATTAGATGTAAATCAATGTTAGAGAAGTCATGTGATCATCTTGGTGTCATTTTGATGGCTTTTGTTGTTTTCGCATCCAGGTGTACACATTCTTCTTCTTCTTTTAATATTTCTCTCTCTTTCATTTTCTTGTATAATTATAAAAATACAATAAGGACCAGATACTTAAAAGTTATGTAATAAGAGCCATTATAAAGGAGGGGACTGTGTGACTTGAATAACATGTTTATTCTAGACAGTATTTATAAAATGTACAGAATTTTCAAAGGAGTTTATTGTATGACATTTCCTCTTAGTAAAATATTAATTGACAGTATATTCTGTAACACAATGTGGTCTCTTAGCTGAAACATGAAAAATTCCATTATGATTCTTATATCTGCTTTGTCTGTCTATCTGTTTTCGACATAGAACTTTGCACCGATATCCAGCTGTTCAAATCGCCACACTCCATGTAGCACACAAAGCAAGAGAAGAAAAGTAAACAGAGGTGTGAGACAAAGGAATAGTAATAACGAAGAACAATATAGTTTCATTGGAAATCATAAGTCACAAGGAGTGGATGCATCTGCACCAGCCATTGACAACTGGGATTTTGAGCCATATCACCAATTGTTTCTAACCATTTGTTTTTACCGTTCCGATGACCGCAACCGGGAAGCCAGTCTACACCTCCCTAAATGGCTGGCTTGGACTAACTGTTGTGGATTTCATCGACCGCCACCAGCTCTTTTCCAGCCTGACCCTATATCCGCTAACATCGCTCGTCGAGGAAGGCGATGACTAGGCATACGTAACACGTGTCCTAACCATCTCATTCAGTCGATGTAACTCCACAGCCTCGTCGATTGATTTCCCCTCCTTACCTAGAACTCGATGACTAACTTCAATATTGCTCACCTTATTATGCCACTTTACACGGGAAATAGAGCGCAGGCACCTATGATCAAAGACAGCTAGTCAGTGTTTTGATGTCTTCCACTCTCAGTGGCCAGGTCTCACAACCATAGAGGAGGACGGGGCGGACTGATGAGCAGTAAACCCGCCCTTTGGTCGATAGTCGAACATCTCGTCTACGCCAGAGTCGGCGTAAACTGGCATATGCGAAACAAGCCCCCTGTATTCGTGCTGAGATTTCGTTAGAGATCAACCCGTTGAGGCTGGCTGATGGTACTTCCCAAGTAAGTGAGGCGGTCAACGTGCTCTACCACTTCACTTCCTATTTTTAAACTAGGCGTCGATGTAGTCCAGTCGTGTAACATCATCTTGCATTTCACGGCGGGAGCGAATCACATGTCAAACATTCGTAGATTGCAGCTCAATGGGTTCAGAAGACTCCGCTGTATTTCGTCAGCGTCCTCGCCTACAAGGACTATATGGTCTGCATATTCTAAATCAACGAGATTATTTCCTGCTGGTAGCAAGTCAATCCCTGAGTCGCTGAAGTCACTTAGGGTTAAGTCCATTAGTACATCGCTGATGAAGTTGAGTAGGAATGGGGATAACTAGCATCCTTGACGCACACCACTAGTTGTCTGCTCTGTCTCCTTGAAGAAATCCTCGATATGGTTGGAGGATTTCATCATGAGCTGACATCGTCTAAAGAACCATTGGAAAACCTGCAGGGAGTACTGGACAGTTGTTTCCGTTGTCCTAGTTTGGGACTCTTCATCAGTATTCACCCACCTTTTGATGTTCGAACCCAGGACTTTCCACTTACAAGGCCAGCAAGCTCCTAAACCATTGAGCCACTGGGACCCGATCCAATGGCCAGTGCATGAATTCTAACTTCTGCCAATTCATGCCAGTTCATTCCAGGTTTTCCAATGGTTCTCTAACTGTTGTCAGCTGACGGTGAAATCCTCCAGCCAATCAAACTAAATCCCTACAAAACCAATACTTGAAAATTTGTCTGGTGCTCACTAACGACTGGCCTTATTCAGGCAATGATCTGGGATTCTAGGGGGAAGCCGTGACCAGTAGGGTGCAGCAGGTTGAAGGTGAAACCAGTAATTCATCGAAGAAGACGTTGCAAAGTGGTCGCGCTATGTCATGAATTGGCAGAAGTTAGAATTTATACTCTGGCCATTAGATCGGGTCCCAGTGGCTAGTGGTCTACAAGCTCGCCTTGTAACCAGAAGGTCCTGGATTCGGACTTATTAGTTGGGTGCGTACTGATGAAGAATCCAAATGAGGACAACGGAAACAGTTGTCCAGTACTCCCTGTAGGTTTTCCAACGGTTCTGTAACCGATGTCAGTTCACGATGAAATCCTCCAAGCAATCAAACGAACTCCATACAAGAACCAACACTTGAAAAATCCACGACATCTAGTTCAAAGCTATTTGTAAGATGCTCAGAAGTAAGTTTTTTTGAGATTCAAGAACGTAACTGAAGAACAGTTATCTCATGTTTTGGAACAAGTTGCCACCTTCTCACAATCAGTCCATTCCTCAAGCTTAGTAGGAACTTGAGAATCAGAAGCTTGTAAACATTTTAAATACACACAAGAGTAGATAATATCATTAAAGGTCATATCTTAATCGATTAAAACAAACTAAACGAAAGAAAATATATGTAATAGAGGCATAGATGTTTTTGGTAGCCCAAGTTTTAAGCAAGCGCCTATATGTTCAATAAGACTGATGTTTATTATTTAATTGAATTTTGACTTTCCCGCTAATTGATTGATTTGTCCTAAGTGCTCGGTGTCAGGTTAAGATGTTTACTCCTTGTGCGCGGATGCTTCGATGATATCTGAGGATTTTAATCTGAAGTAAATTGGTGGAATCTAAGATGCG